CTACGACACTGTAGTTATAATCGTAAAAAATGCTTTAACGTTCTAACAATTAAAGATAATGTTAGAATAAAATATCTTCTTTCAAATTACCGTGGAACAGAACAATTTCCAAAACATACCATATAGAGCGATATTGGAGATAATACGCGTAACTTTTATTTTAAATTCTCATGTATGTGTATAGTACTTACACCACCAAAGATAACATCAGTGTTGTTATATAAATAAAAAATATTTTCATTTATAAATAAATAAATATATATACGACTTTAAATTTGAATCGATTGAAGGGATAATATCGTTATATTTGCGAACGGAAGAGATCTTTGTTACGTGATTTAGTTTCTTTATTAATGATGTATTTTATTTAACAATTATTGTATATCGACCACGACATGATCCACGTTTCATCTTACTGTATTTTAAGACTTTTTGTGAGCATTATTTTTTATATTCACCACATAGCGTAACCAACATAAAATATACACTCGGATTTATTCATACTTTGATTGACTCCCGCATTGAATTTGTGATATATTTTGATGAAGACATACTATGTGTGATGATGACTCGAGGAGAAGTCGTAATCGAGGAATTTTTGATACTTTATTTTTTAAATTTGTATGTAAAATCTCATTACTATTAAAGAGATAATTTGCGCCTCAATAACAACGCTTGATTCTCATTTGCCCATTTTTGTTTATCAAATATATATATACATTTGTCAATATAACGGCATTTTGAAAGTTGCTCCGTACGTTCCACAGTAGGTACTGCATAGTATATCTAGATGAATTAATATAAAAATTCTTAGATATTTCCGATTCTTGAACATGTTCTGTTTATTAATATTTATATATACTAGCAGGTCAATCTAATGGCATTACATTTTCAGATTAGCTACTAGCAACATGGTCTCGTGTCGTATTTTCAATAATTTTCTATTGTCAATTGCTATTATTAGTTTAAACACAATTCTAATCGCATCTATGCCCTCTGAGCTTAAATTAGTTAATGTGGTAAGTGCACTTAGATAATATTATTAATAATTAAAACACACATATACAAATTCTATCTATTAATCAATATATCACATATCTATCTCTTTCTCTTTCCCTTTTTCTATTTTTTAAAAATTTCAGTCATTTGTGAAAAAATACTATTGAATTCGAGAAAAACTATTGCAATATACAATATATACAATATATACATGTATAATATGGGATTAAAATAATTTTTTAATAATTTTTAATAGTTTTTTTGTAAGTCCAATAGTATTTTTCCAAAAATTATTGTCATTTTTTTAGATTATGTTATTCATGATTGCTGCGCTTCAGTGATTTTTTCATTTACATTTTTGCAGATATTCAGACATGGCGATCGTACACCCGATAACAACGGTCGTGAAATGTTTCCGAACGATCCGTATATAAATTATTCCTTCTATCCCACAGGCCTCGGGCAATTGACCATAGTAAGTACATGACATCATCTAGAATAAATTGTTTATTATCCGTAAAAAAGTGAGAATTAATATGCTTTAAAATAATTTACTTTTGATAATATTAAATTGCAAAAATTTGCAACGTTTGAAAAGCTAATTATTTTATTTCTTCTTCGAGAATTTAAATCTTGTTTATAATTATTTTTATTTTAATAAATACATTCTTAAATTCTTTTTTTATTTTCAAGAAAATCAACAGAATCAATTGAATATATTATTTGACTAATTGATTGGATTTGTGTGATTTTCAATAGGAGGGCAAGAAACACGAATATAGATTGGGAAAATTTCTGCGCTCCAGATACAATGACTTTCTCGGTAGTTTGTATACGCCAAAACTTGTCGTAGCTCGTAGTTCAGATTTTGAGAGAACAAAAATGTCTCTGCAACTTGTTCTCGCCAGTTTGTTCCCACCGAGAAATGTACAACGATGGAATCCTCTTTTAAACTGGCAACCAATCCCGACATCGTACACACCACGTATCGACGACAATATTATCCTAGCCGACGAGTGTCCGCAGTAAGTACAATACAACGGAAAGCAACATAAGACAAGCAATGAACAGGAAATTAATTTTCAAATGGCATCAACATTTCTCACAATTTTTAATTAATTGTAATTATAGAATTATAAGAATATTATTAAAGGATATTTAAAAATAGAGAAATTTCTATATTAATTTTTTAAAAACTTAGAAATTTAATATAGAAAAAGATAACTTGATTTACATTTAAGATCATTTTCAGGTACATCGAGGAGTACAATCGAATATTGAGCTCGTCCGAAGGACAAGAAAAGATTAGTCAGTTCAAAGACTTGATGGGTAACTTGACGAAGCTAACTGGCAAGAAAATAAAAACAGTAGAAGAGCTTTACTTCCTTTATCAAACTTTTATAGCTGAGTCTTCTTTGGGATTGCCTCTTCCCGAATGGGCATACGACTATTTTCCTTATGGACCACTGTTCGATGGAATTGTGGCTTCATACAATATTTCTAACTTCACTCCATTAATAAGAAGGCTAAATGCTGGTAAGTTATATTTATCTTGACATAATTTCGAAAAAAATCTGTTTGTTTAATACATAAATTTACAGTTATTGAAAAATATATAAATTAAGTATAAAATTTAATAGAACAGATAAAAATCGCGCGCATAAAAGTTGAAGGAGTGCAAAATACGACTCCTTCAACTCCTTTATCTCTTATGCGCACAATTCTTATTTATCCTGTTAAATTTTGTGTTTAATTTTTAAATATTTTCCAATAATTGTTAATTTATGTATTATTAAATAAGCGGTTATTTTTTTGACTTCTCTTTGAGCCATCTTCAATCATAATAAAATATCTTACATTTAATGAAATATAAGTCCTCAGAGATTCTTCAAGTGATAATCTAATTTCTAAAAATATATCCCTCACAAAGGTTGCAAGATCAAATGATATAGTAAATATCCTAAAGAGAATCAAGAGTTATATAAAAAAACATGGATTAGTTATAACAATAAAAGAATAATAAATTAAATAAAAATTTAAATAAGATTAAAAGATTATAGTCGAAAGACAGACAAATTGACAGACACAAAAGTAAAACTATTGTTATGAATGTTATGCTAAAAGTCCAAATCGTAATTAAAAAATAAAAAATACATAATAATTATGTGGGTTGAAATTATTAACTTATGAATTTATCATAATTTATTAATTGGATATAGGATGTATCTTAAATGTCATTAATTATATAGCGTTATTCCTTGCAAAAAACCGAGTTGAAAAGTTCTGAACCACTTTTATCTATAATATACAATGAAGCAATTACTGTTGCAGTAACTGCAGCTTCATCAAGCATTGTAAAAAGAAAATGTTCAGAACTTTTTTGTCTCAATTTTTTATAAGAAATATAGAGCTGTATGATTAGTGAGCGTTATTTAAAAACTTCGTTCTACAATGCTCAATAAAATAGTAATTACTGCAGTAGTGATTGCATTATTGAGCATTGTAGAAAAAAATGTTTAGGTTTAAAACTTTCCTTAGTTTTTTTATAAGAAATAACGCTATATAATTAATGGACGCTATTTAAGATACATCCTGTATACATATAATAATAAATCTAAAAAAATTAAAATTATGCAAATCTTGTAAATAATTTTCGTTTATAAAGGAGAAATTGTATTTGACGGAAAAATTAGAAATTAAATTTATTGCAGTCGAACCTCGATAACTCGAATCTCTACAACTCGAAAACCTCTATAAGACGAAAATTTTGTTCATTCCCTTCCGCTCCATTGCGGAAAATTTCTATAAATCAAAATAAAACCTTATACCTTAACTTGAATTATTTGTCAGATATTTAAATGTATTATTTTACCTCTGCAACTCGAATTTAAAATAGCCAGACCTCTACAAGTCGAAGTTCACCTTTATAAGTCGAGCTTCTATTGTCACTGCCTCTATAATTCGAAGTTAATTGTAGCTATGTATAATAGCCATGAGTAATAGCCTGGTATTTTGTCTTATGATTACATTTATTATATGTATGCAATAAATAATTCACTGCCAAATATTGATTTTTTTTTCTTTTAAAAGCCATTATAATCGGAAAATTATATAAACTCTCGTACAAAGCCTCCGTCAGTCGAATTTTCATACACATATGTTAACCCTCTTATATTCGAATTTCGATAACTCGAAAATTCTATAACTCGAACAGTTTTTTTCATGCCTTGAGATTCGAATTATCGAAGTTGGACTGTGTAAAACTTCGATTTATTACAAATGTGACAAATTCTTTAACAATTGAATAAAAAATATCACAGTTTTATTTAGAATTGTGTTATATAATTACAAACTCTTTTGCATCGTTTCAGGTCCAATGATTCGTACCATGACGGACAATATGATAGCTGCACAAAATCCAACTGCTGCGCCAAACACGAAGATTTATTTATACAGTGGACACGAGACCAACATTGCAGGTATGTTGCACGCGTTTGGTGTATACAAGCCGCATGTACCAGAGTATTCGAGTGCAATTATCATGGAATTGCAACAGATTGACCAAGAATATTATGTAAAGGTAAGTTTCTTATATCACATACACACAAACAATAGAGTTGCGTTATCCATTAATAAAAGAAAAAAATAATATCCATAGATTTAATTATTTAATTAGTTAATTTATTAACTATATCATGTAATGGATTTTTCAGCTCGTGTATTATCGAGGCATCCCGCCAACTATCAAAGAGCTTAAAATCCCAGGTTGCGACGTACTATGTCCCTTCGATAAATATTTGGAGCTAATTGAAGATTTGATCCCGTCCGACGAGGAGATGATTTGCGACAAGAGACAAACTCCGGATTTTGCCGGTACGGAATACCCCGCCGGCTTGCAGAATATTCTGGAGAATTTAATTAAGAGATCAGCAATCGAGAAGAGCATTCAGCGATAAAGCGTGTGTTATACTAATTGTCTTATAGAAAATTATGTGCACTTTGTCATCAGTGCAACAAGATTTTTTTCCACTAAATCATTCTTTTTCATTATTTATTTATTCAATTGCCATTAAATATAGATATTGAAAGATTTGCGAAAGTTTCGTGCTCATTAAATCATATTCACATGATGAGAGTGTGAGGTACGTAGATAAATGAAAAATCAAAACTTCCTTACTAAATATTTTTTTATTAAAGGGGTATTCTAGTCTAGCGGTTCGGAAAAATCGATTTTTTTGTTTTTACATATTTTGCAAGTATTTGATATGGAAAATATGTCTGCAAAAGGATTTAGAGATCGGAAGAGC